TAATTGTAGTACTAATTTATATTGGTTTATTGAAAGGAACAGTTAGTGCTTAATTTTTTTGACCAAATTTTCATGCTTATATCTGGTAATCTGGACAACTAATTTGAAGACAATAATGTGCAGTATAACAACCATTGGTGAACTCATATCATCTTGTTTTTTGATATTCTGTATAATTTCTAGTGTTTTTAAAATTGTTTTTCTTCTCTTTAAAATAAAAAAAAAGAAAATGATACACCAAAAGAGAGAAATTGATCTTTCCTAGTTTTTTCTTATTGAAATATGATGGTAATAATAGCAATTGTTTTTAAATGTGTTTTATTCTTTGTACATTTTGATAAAAATTATAGCACAGTGAAACTCCTGATTTTTCTCTCTCTCTGTCTCTGTCTTCCTCTTTCCCTCTCTCTCTCCTCTCTGTACTCCCTTTTGTAGTACTGGGAATTGAACACAGCGAATTCTAAGATAGATCCCTAGATGACTTTTTACCTATTTTATTTTTAGATAGTGTCTTGCTAAAGTACCCAGATTGGCCTTAAACTTGCATCTTCCTGCTTCAGCCTCCCAAGAAGTTAAAATTACCATGTAACAGTGAGCATAAACATCAAAATAACACCCAGGATTTGGAGGTAGATTTCTTCATGTTAACAGGCACTGATTAGGATCATTCCTAGAGTATCAGGCCCCAATCTCTGGTGGTCTAGGGCTTATATGGGATAAACAAGCAGGAAGTACAGAGGCAGAATGGCTTGTCAGTTGGGGATTGGTTTATACAATGTACATTGTAGTGACCAGCTATGCATCACAGTGACCAGCAAGTTCTAGAAGCAACTGGAACTGGAACAGGAAGTATTACCTGGGCAACTAAGAAACTGAAGGATACTGGCTGAGAGCGGGGGCATTTTTCATTGCAACAGCAGTGCTCTCGGACCCTACTGGCTTGGCTTCTCTTAGTATTTGATTAAGACATTTTTTTCAGTGACCCAAACCCCAACTCTATCTGAGAATGTAGCTGCTGGAAGTAGTGGACTTGTTCATATGACGTGTATTTTTCAAATGCTTTTTGTGTGCTCACCACTGTTCTGATATGAAGAAGACTGAAAATGTCCTTGTTCTCCAAGGGTCCTCATTGCAATAACTCATATTTTTTTTAACCTGTCAAGAGATAAAGAATCTTCTACACAGCTACAGTGAAAGTCATTTTCAGGGAAGGATTTCTATGGGCTTAGCCTAGGTTATGTAGCTTTCCACCATAGAACCAATCACTTGTTACATCCCCAGCTCCAAGGTCCACATGATAGGCCTACTGCTAGAAGGAGACAAGAAAATATATCTAAAAAAATTGAAGATGTTTATCCTTTGCTACTGAGCATTTCTGGAAGTCATTAGAAAACTGCATTATGTCAAATGTAGTCTCTGGTGTTCCCTGTTAGTCCATGGTCATTTTCTCCATCTGGGTTTTATGTTTTCATTTACTGGGATCTGCTGAGATGGTGTGCTTGATACTGGAAATGGAAACAGGACATTAGGATCTTTCCACAAACTAGTTATAAATTTCAAGCAAGATTTTAATCTTAAACATTAATTACAAAATGGCATTACAAAATCTAGAGGTCTGGGAAAAGTGTTGTTTGCAGAATGAAATGACCAGTGGAGCCCGAACTAGGTTAAGATTCACAAAGGAAAAGGAGAAGACCGCTCAAGAACATATAAAAATGGCATGTGAGAAGCCATGGGTATTTGAAGGAAGTCTGCAGCTTTGCTATTCAGCTTGGGGTAGTTAGTCTAGCTTGTGTGGTAGTGAGGGTGTGTGGTGAAGCCTGTGAGTAGAAGCCTTATGCAATGTTGATTACATATTCTAGAAACCCTCTTAAATGCTTCTGTGGTCTCGAGAGGCCCCTTCTTAAATCCTTGGTAATCCTGTTATCAAGTTGTTCTAAAGTTTGCTTCAGTCATGTCATCCTTTTTTGGGAAAACTGACATAGACTTCAGTCACTGGAAATGATCTAAGCTTATAGCGGTGCTTCAGAGATACTACCAAAGGGCCAGAGAGCATGCCTGGCACATGGCACAGTCCCCTTTCATGTTAATTACTCCTCTTGTTTGTGCTGTTAGTGTGGAATTTCTGCACTCTTTAGCATGTCGGTCTATTTTCCCCCTACTTTTCACTCTGTGCCCATTAGAACCTTCACTTTTCTGCACAGATGTTTTGGTTCCTTTAAAATTTGTTGACTTACATTATTTTCTTTGGTTGCCTGTACACCAAACTCCTACTCAGAAATCTTTTAGATCATATTTCTCCTTTTTTGCTTAAATGTTTTTGATGACATTTAATATGGAGTCATAGACTAGATTTACTTATGAACATAACATCCTGTCTAATTTTCTATATTGGTTTGACTCTAATTTTGCATATTTTTGGCCTGACTTCCCTTCCATGAAGGAGTGCCACTGGATATTTTTGATGTGGATCTTCTTGATGGCTTTTCTTATTATGAAAGTGCTTTATGGGTGAGTTTGTCGCTAAGAGAGTTTAAAAGAAAGAAGATTATCCATGGATCCATGTATATATAGGGGTCCATATATATCCATGTCTGTATGTAATATTTTTCTGAAATCTTTAGCCAATGTAACAGCACAAGATAAAGAAATTATAATTATTTGCAGAATATGTGATTATCTACTTGGAAAACATCTATCTAGTTTGTGAGAAGAAAGTGAAAAGCTGTTAAGATTACTTAGTTTTGTAAGTTAGTAATAAACAGACAATACTTCTGCAATATGCAAATTAGAAAAAGTTCTACAAAGGATAGAAAATGTTTGAGAAAAAAATTTACCAAGAAATTCTCAAGATTATGTCAACAAAGAATTAATGAACTATGGGCAAGAAAATTTAGCTATGTGGAGAAATTTATCAAACCCCTTGGGACATTTAATATTGTAAAACTAGCCAAACATTTAAAGACAGACTTAGCAAAATTTCAGTGGTCTTTTTAACCTTGAAAATTGTTCTTAGATTATTCCAATAGACTAGATATAACAATATTGAAAAAAGCAATTCAGGAAGGGAATAGGCCTACTTGTGATGAAGGTGTATTACTCAGCTTTATTTAACAGAGTGTAGAAAAGTTGTAGGATTAGACAAATCAGTAGTTCAGAGAAATAAAGTTCAAAACTGACCAGGTACTATAAACATATTTAATACAGCCAGTGTGGCATTTTAAAAGAACAATGAAAGGTGGATTATTTCATAAATGGCATTAGGATGACTAACTACATTTGGAAAAGAAGCCAAGGTTAGATTACGAGAACACCATATGCTCAGCTGCCTACTATTAGTGGTTTAAAACAACAGTACCCATTTTATGATCTCACGCAATCCCCATGAGTCAGGAATTTGAGATGGTCCCAGATGGTTGGGTCTGGCTCACAATCCCTCATACAGATGCAGTCAGGCCGTGGTGGCTGGAGTCGGAACAGCAGGGCGTCGAAGCAGCTGGACTCTGTCCAAACAGCTCTGTCTGTGGAGTGTCAGGGTCTGTTTGTATGGAGTTTCAGGGCCTCTTTCATGGGCTAGTTTGAGGCTTCCTCACAGCCTTGAACCTCCAGGAACTCAGATTTCTCATATGGTGGCTGAAGTCTTGAAAAGCAAATACTACAGCAAGCAAGACAGAAACTAAGTTGCCTTTTGTGAATGAGCTATGGAAGTAGCACAGCATCATATCTGCCCGGTTCTGTGGGTTAATACTGATGGAGAAGCCTGTCCAGATTCAAAGAAAGGGAGTGAGACCCACTCTTATAGTGGGATGAGTCAACAATCATTGTACGAAGAACGCGTTGGAAGGAGAGATATGATTCATCTCGGTACACTTTCTGTTCCTTCACAGAAGACCTGTGAATGGGCAATTTAAAAAGAAAAATGTTTTGCTTTGGCTCATAGTTCCGAAGCTGGGAAGTTTAATGTTGGGCAGCCACATCTGGCGCGGGGCCCATGCTACATCATAAGAAGGAATTAGGAGAAACAGCAAGCAGGTTCCCATGGTGGACAGGAAGAGACAAAGGGGGTGGATGCTTTATAAGAGTTCACTCTCATAACCATCCCATTCTCAGGGGAATACAGAATGCTCATGACCCTTGGTCTCTTAAAGACCTCTCTGCCTCTCGGTAGCCTTATACTGACAATTATACTTGAACATGAGTTTCAGCAGGGAGAAATCCCATCCATGCTGCAGTATTATTCTAGCTATCTTTGGAAAATACAGTCACTGTATCACATGTTGCTGACTGGAACCTCCTGGGTTCCCTTGAAGGGGAAATTTCCCTCTCTTTCTGCGTACACTGACCGCCATCATCTAAGACCAGTGATTTTCAAGTGTTAGTATGCATCCAAATCCCCTGAAGGGCTTCTTAAGACCTGAAATTCTGGGTCTTACCCTAGTTTCTGGTTCACTGTGTCTAGCAGAGGATGAGAAATTGCAGTTGCAGTAAGTTCTAAGGTGATACTTACATTACTGTAGTGAGGACCACACTTTCTGAATCATCATTCTAGGTGATAGCATTTGTTCTGTTCATAGTTTTACATTTTGGGTAGATGTTTGGGCTTAGTAAAAAGAATCCTCTTCTGTGTACTACATTCCTTTTCAGAGTTGTGCCACACCTCCATCTGCACACATATTTGGCCTAGTGAAATCAGCAAGCTGAGGAGAAAAGAAGGGATTTTCAGGCTGTGAGAGTCTCAGCGGGATACCCTGCACGGGAAGAATGGCAAGGATGTCTTGAGCTTTTGGTGGGAAGAATACTACAAAAACGAATTTGTTGCTTTCTGACTCCTTTAAAAAATTCTGCCTCAGGTGCCAATGGTGAAACTTCTTTTACCTGCTATCAGTGAGCTGCTGAAAACCTAGGATAAATTCTGTCATACAACCCCATTGTGATGGTGACTCACCCTCAGCCCTGCACGGTGAAAGCTGCCATCCTACTAAACCTCCTCACTATATCAGTGCAGGGACCTGAGAAACAGGGGATCTCATCAAATTTAAATAGTCCTACAATCTCCTTTCAGAACTTAAACATTTCACATATAATTAATCAATATGGGAGGACTGGATTTGGCTATAAAATCAGAAAATGAGGGTAGACTGCACAATAGAGTCTCCTGGAACTTGAGTTTGGTGATGGCATCAGGTAGGAGAGCATCTGGAGATTTATTTGTTTTCTTTTCTTTTTGTTTTGGTACCAGGAATTGAACTCGGGACCTTGTGCTTGCCAGGCAGGCACTGTGCCACTGAGCTATATCCCTGGTCCTTTTTATTTATGTTCTCTGGTTCTATAACTTTGAACTTTGCAGAAACCAGGGTAATTTGATGGTAGAGCTTATTTAATCACCCCAGATAAAGTGGTAGAGGAGAGGTGGTTGTATCCTCAGGAAGTTAGATACAAGTCTGTCTTCCTTGTCAGCACCAACCCCCAATCCATACAAGTTGCCTTCAATTCTATCCTACTTAATATCCTCCTTGGATAACAAATATTATTACCTCTTTTTTGAAAATCATAAAATAAAACTCAGATAATAAAATGTCATAAAATAATATAGTTAAATTTAAAAATGAATATAATTTTAGAAGAACAATAATTCTGTGACTATAAATAAAAAATGAGATTTATGGTAAAGTAATATGTAATTCATACTAAAACCAAGTGCTCAGGGAATATTATACTAGAAAAAATAAATAGCCAAATGCTATAATTACTTACGATGAATAATTACATTTATATTTTTAAAAGTCAGCTGGGCATGGTGGTGCATGCTTGTATTCCCAGCACTCGGGAGGCTGAGGCAGGAGGATGATTGCGAGTCCAAGACCAGCCTCAGCTACAAAGTGAGCTCAAGGCCAGTCTGAACTCCATAGCGAGACCCTGTCTCAAAAAAAAAAAAAAAAAAATAGAAATTGCATTTTTAAAAGTCAGATGCCATTTTGTGTAAAGGAAGGGGAATTAAAGGGCAGCGAGATGAGTGGACCCTGATAGGGTCCACTGATGGAAAGATGCATAACAATAACCTGATTTGTATATAAATGAGCAGAGGAAAAGGAAAGAAACTTACTCAAAGTTGGGAAAAAATGTCAAGGGAAATCATAAACTGTCACAATGGAGAACTTGGAGAATTGTGAGCGAGTTTTATTTATAAGTATAATATGGAAATAAACTGTATCGTTGTCATAGGTTCTGTCAGTAATGAAATAACAGAAAAATGCATGCTGTGTTCTGAGATGCACCACAGGTCAAAGCATGTACCAGCATCTGAATTCCTGGCAGGACATGCTGAAGTTATGGAAGTGTGATGTGAACTGTCCACTGGGCAGCCTAAAATGTTAAAGCGAGTTACAAACAAAGTGAGTCTCAGTGGTATGATTATTAGTCATATCTCTAGAGCATTGCAGGACTTCTGGACCTAGGCTCTCTCCTATCAAATAACTATCAAGTCCAGCAAACACAGGATAACAGCAACAACAAAACCTCAAAATTTCCAAAATGCTCCTAAGGGGGCTTTCTTCTTTGTGGAAAACTGAACATTTAAATTTTTAAAAAATTAAACTAGAACATATTGTTAGTGCATTCCAGTGAGAACTCTATTTGCTAAATTAAATTTTAGCATAATATCACTAGCTTACCATCAAACTTACTATTTTTTCTACAAATATAAGATTGAAGATATTGTTCAGATATCTTCAGTGGGATCCGCCTATTTCTAACAGTACTGGAATACTTCAGATTCTCCTGGGTATTACTTATTCTGAATCATATATCTAATCATGTTTCCCGACTGTGTTGGGAATAAGAAAGATTAAAGTCAAATTTTAGACCTATGCCTGGCAAGTTGATGGAATGGCGTAGAATGCTTTGCATGAACTGACTTCCTTCTTGATTTTTATCTTACTTTTTACTCTTTTTTCCCCCTTTGCTTTTATTGCTTTCTGTACAGACTCAAAACAGATAAAAATGTATCTGTATTTTAAATAATTATTTTTTGCCAGTGGAACAAAACAGCATTTCAAGTGTAAATATTATAGACTGAACACACACTGTACTGTTGTACTCTCTCGCTCATTGTGCCAAATCCCTGAAGCAATACAATTGTTCTCCAATAGAACAACATGGCGAGAGATTACTTTTTTGATATGGTAATTAAGTTCTGCATCCTTAAAAGAGAGACAGGTTCTCTGTAGGTGTTCATTGCCCTGATGAATACCCTGGATTGCCATCACAAACTTCTCAGGAAAAGATGGCAATCAGCAAGCTATACTAAAATAACAACAAAACTAACTGTGGGCTATGGCTTCATACTAATGAGTATTTTGCAGTATATGCATTCTATAAGTAATATTTACATATGTGTCCTAAAATATTACAGTGACATAAACATTCTCAGTGGCATGATTATTAGTTATATCTCTCACTAAAACAGCTACACATAATAAGTTTTAAACCATCTTCTTCTCTGCTCTAAAATCTTTATTGCATTCAGCATTTCATATTTTAATTTCAATGTTTATTTTACTTTATTTGTTAGTAGTGAGTATGAATAATTTTAAATTTATGTTGATATAAGTGGCACAAATTCTATTTGCAATAAACCTAAGTCAACCTTCCTGTACTTGATGCATTAGATAGTACTGATTCTGTAAGATGTTGTGCAATGAAATACACTTCTTTCTAGAAAATAATAGTATAATAGTATCCTGTCTATCACATACTAAAATGATGCAATTGACCAACTGTCAGGATATGTTCTCTGAAATTGTTTCCTAGTAATCATGCTGAATTACTCTGTTGGCTATAGTTACTGATGCAGTTTTGTAGGAAGGTTTTTCCATGAAGTTGATTGGCTCAGATAAGAAATGAATGTGCAGCATTAACCTCATCAGTAGCATGCCCTCTGCCCGAGTGAGTTGCTTGAATAATACTTATTTCTTTTACATTATAAGAATTTATTGTTCATTAAAAGCATGAAATCATCTACTTTCTGTATAGCATTAATTAATCTGTCTGAAAGTGAGAGAAAAGCCAGTGAAAAGAGAAAAAGAAATAAGAATGGGTAACGGGAGGCAGCATAAGTTAACTTTAAACACAGACACTAAAATTTATTTCAAAGTTTTTCATCCTGATTTGGAAATAAACATTGTGTTGGTTTCCTTGTGCAAAAGGTGAACTACTCAGTATTTAATGTAGTGAAATACAAAGCATTAATGTATTGTTTCTTTTCTTCTACTTACAAAGAGTATGCCATCTCCTTGGGAGGTGGGAGATAAATTGTTATGTTCCTAAGGAAGCCAGGAAAACTAAATGCTGCTTTTGTGATCCTTAGGTTTAAGATACAGTTGTGAGATCACTCAGTACTTCATGATGTGCCGTGAGAAAAGGGCCAGAGAAAGGAGACATTTTAATATTTCAAGGTGTAGGAGAAGACCTCAGAGAACAGAGCAAAGGCTGAGTGTTCAACTGGGTGGTGATGACCTGGATATCATCATAAAGTAGACTTTAAGAGGTGTCATACTCTCTAAATGACATAAATGGAGACCACAGATGGCAGGGAAGCTACCCCTAGAGCAGATCACCTTTGCATGTAGATAGGTATGATAAACTCTCAGCTGTGAGCAGGATTTCTCATCTATTTACTCAGAATTTGGTAAACTGAGGAGTCTTCCTAAAGCTCTGAGTAGGAAGGAACCATTTAAAAGAACTTCCAAACTGACCATGAGGAATGGAGATCCAGAATAGATTTTATTTGATATAATAAGAACAAGCAACATTCTTAGCACTTTTGGTACAAGAAACTGAATACATTAGCATGCACAACCTACCATTTATACTCTGAGAGTTTCTAAAGGAATAAGAGTTATTTTGTGCTGTTTATATCTTCATTTCATTTAAGTTCTTATGTATACCAATGTGTGGAAACCATCTTATTTTGTGGGAAAATAGGGGCAATTAATTTTAACTTCATTGTATCAGAATTGACGATTATATTAATCAATATGTTCTATTAATACAATAGAAGTTACTTCTGATTAGTAGAAATTCCAGTCATGACTTTTAGTTTGTCATGTAAAATAAACATATTGTATGCCTCATTGCTGACTTGTGAATTTCCAGAGGCCAACAAGTAATTATTTGATTTACTGTCATGAACAGGACATGAAATGACAAATAGAATCATCATTTAAATATGCTGAGGCTGGCACAATTGAGTATGTCATGGAATTTGCTTAAAGTATTTAAAAGTACTCCAAAATGGACCACAGACTAACGACCTCCTATTGAATCGGCAAATGATTCAGAAACTACAGCTTTTTCTTATGATTCTATAAGGGAATAATTAACCTAAAAGATGAGAATAGTACCTAAGATTAATGATAAAATCAATAAACCATTTGAACTCAGGCTAAAAATGAATACATGAAACAGCAATTAAGCAGAGTTTTAAAAAAATAAAGCACTCTTAGTAACTGGGAAAATTACCCACTGCATTTGTATTTACACTGGGAAATATTTCTTGAGATTGAGGCAATGAATATACATTTAAAAAACAATGGAAAAAATAAAGAAGTTAACAATAAGAAACAAACCCTCCTAACCATTATTATCTCAACTTCTTTGTAAAATAACAGGGAGGGTATTAAGAAGAAAAATCTGATCTATGTGTCAGGAAAGTTGTGAGCGTCTGGGTGCTAAACAGCACAGGGGATCACACGGAGCAGATCATGCCAGACGTACACAATTACATTCCTCTCATCAAATTATACAGTGGGTGAAGGGAGTTCAGTGGATGTGATACATCTTGACTTTACTACATCATTTCCTTTATATCTTCTGAGTGTACTTAATATTTTAGTTAAAATTAGCTTAACTATGTACAATGACGTAAGGCCAGAAATAAACACATAAATAAAAATGGAGGAGACCAGGTTTAGCAGCCACATAAGACCTGGGGAAGCAAAAAGTGAAAATCTCCCCTATAGTCCCTGGAGGAATAGCTGGTCTTTGAAGACCATGATAAGTATTAATGTTATGGGCAGCTAAGTTAGATAAAATATTACAGGCAGTGAGACAGGGCCAGGCCCTGGAGCAAGCCAGTGGAGAAGACAAGACAACTTGCAACTGTGGGAGAGACAAGCACCTCTACTGCAGGCCAGACCTCAAGATAAAAGATAAAACAAACGGACCCTCATACTTTGAAGGATAAACATCAGAGTTTGATATTCTAAATAGCTTTCATGGATCATCCCGAGGAAGCCAGGAAGAGCCACTAATGCACCCTCCTACAGGAAAAGCCCCTGTTCTGTATTCATGTCTGCTTGCTATGTGACTCACTTCCCCATTTAATCCTGATTTAATAAATTTTACCTGAACAATTATACTCATAATCTTATTGGTTAGGCACAGTTTTGTCCCACCTCATGCCCACTTTGCAATTTCCCATTTTTCCCATTTGGACATTGTGGATTTGATCTATAAAAATCCCTAGAAAAAGCAGGGTCCTTCGCAACCCATTTGGGACCCCCTCTGCCTCTCTCTCAGACAGAAGATTTCTTTCCCTCAATAAATATACTCTGCCCTTAACCTCCATTGTTCCTAAAATTTATTCTCCAATTTTAGAGAACATGAACTTGTACCAGACATCTAGAAGTTGGGAGTTTCTTTCCCCTACATCATTAAGATTAGATAGGTGAGATGTTAACACAATGTTACAGGACAGAATGGCCTTCTCAAATATTAAATGCTACCATGCATTTTAAGACAGATGGAAAAAGGAGAATTTTTCAATAGGAGAAATGAAGCAAATGCTGTGAGTTTGTAGATTTGCTAGCAAGAGAGTCTGGTCTGTCACTAGAGACTGCTTTTGCTGATTGCAAAAGTTCTGATAGTTTTGTTTCTTAGAAAACCATGAGTTATTATAACTTTTGTCATAAAAATGGTTGTGTCTCGAAATATATAACAAAAGCCTCCCAAGGACTGAAAACAATTGCAGAAATAAAATTTTATTTCCTGTAGAAATTTTAATAAATATTAGTTTAGCTTCCATCTAGGTTTTGACCATTAATAATGATCTTTGTTTTCTCATTACCATTAACTGTACCATTAGTACAGTGTTCCCATATATTCTTATCACCCTTATTACCTCTATTACGATGAAGAAAGCAGCTGTTGTAACAGTTGCTTCCATTTATTTCTTACATGAATGTGTTGGCAACCAGACCTTATCCTGATATAACCAATAATCTGTGTTTTGCTAAACATGTTTTCTAATTTATCAATCTCATCATATCTAATTCATTCACAGTGTGGAAATTCACAATTATATAAAAGCTGCAGTTAGAAATAAATTGTTTAGCCACATATCCAAAAGATTTTTCATTCAGGGAAAATGGCTATAATTTGCAGTTGCTACCACTAGATTGTAAAATTTTATGATGGTATTGTACACCAATATGTCAGTGAATTCCGGAGCTCTCCACTAAGATCCTCAAGCTTTCCCCAGAGTGGTTGCTTGCCAAAGCTCTCAGGCCACCTTAGCAGAAAGACCATTGACCTTGTCAGGATAAAAGGATGGATTTTCCTTCTACTTTCCTTACTGTACAATTCTACCTTTTCCTCAAGTATGCTTCTAAAAGTTTGTTGTGCCTAGTAAATGATCACAGCTTATAAACCAGAAATTATGGAAGTGTGTGAACTGATACGGTCTTTTCCTTCCATTAGCATAAAACATTTCTAAAGATGAACATACTATTACCATGAATCATGGTTCCATTTTCATTACTTAATGGAAATTAATTGACTCAGAGCATGACTGTCCATAAACCATGAAAATGAAGTGGTAACAGAAATGATATTGTCATTTTTTGGAATTTGGACATTTACCAATACTTGAAAATCATACTACGTTGTTTCCATAGAATTAATTCACATACTATGCAGAAATTTAGCCGATTAAGAGTTTCAACTATCTTTTCAGGAAACAATTTAAAGCACACATATCTATTTAGGAATAAAAGACAAGCATGATAATGTAAGAGAAAAACACCAAAACATATACAAAATATTCAGGATAAACATTTTGTTTTTTTTTTTTTTTTAGTCATTGAGATATTATAGAATTTGAGATTGGGTTCTTATAGGTTCTAATATTAATCTACTTTTTCCATTAAAATCATACAGTTACCACAGTCTAACATGCTTCATCAATGTCTAAGGCTGCAATATACTATATTCAGTATTTATACTTTTTTTTTTTTTGCCCAAGGTAGTCCCTTATCTTACCCACCTCTGGAGGAATAGCTCCTAGTGGTATTCTTTTGTAGAGCAGGTTAGAAAATTCAACTCATTAAATCCCCATCCAGAGTTAAAGATGGTGCATGAGGTCATTCCTGCCTTCCTTACTTCTGTCTTATCAAGTGAGGCAGATAGTTTTCTTGAGCACAGGCAATGGAGGACCTTCAATCTCTAGGAAAGCCAACCTACTATGGTCTGTACAGGGTTACTTCTGAAAATACTACAAATTTTCTTGGGGCACAAGAGCTAACCAGGATATAGTTAGCTGGAATTTCTCTCCTCTTTAGTGAACTTACTGCTTACAAGAGGAGATAACTGGCTCTGGAGAGTTTGTTATTCCTACCGTAACACATAGGGCCATGTGGAGAGATATCAGGGTCTCTCAGGAGACAGATGAAACTAGGAGGAAGCACGATTAAAGCCTTTACTGTTGTTTCCATAGAAAGGAATGGGCAGATCAGGATAAGCAGTAAACAGGCTTTGGATTGGAGAGTGGGAATAATTTCTACAGGCTCTGGGCTATAGTGATGGTTCCTAGTTGTCCAGTACCTGGTCCTAGGGAGATCAAGGCAGAGGAATATTGCCTCCAGGTATGTAAATGTCAGAAGAGATGCTTCTGAGTAGGAACACTGGCTTAGCTACTTTGCATATGAAAAGTGCTTTCTGGGGCCAGCATGCAATTTACTATTTCTAAAAATTGGCTAACCTGCTATTTCTAAAAGTTGGTCAGCCCTGGAGGGACAGCCACTCCAGTAAATGAGACCCAGATAACAGGGCACCCAAAATATAGAAACTAAAAAAACACAGTTAATACTTGACTCTAGCATGAGGGGAAGGGTCATGATAAAGTGACAACTTACCCTCTAGATCCTCCTTGCTATAACGCTTAACATTCCAGAGAGGCTGAAATCTCAAGGCCTTTCCATTGCTAATCCCTCTACATAAACTACTCCCTACCAACATATCCCCCTGCTCCCCTTCCTTATTTCCTGTGTGTTTTGTGTGTGTTCTTAAGATGCAGTAAATCTTCCTTCTACCGCTCTACTTGAATTTGTACCCCTCCAACAGTCCCTCTGTGTTTTCTGCCTTATTTTTCTTGATAACATCACTCTCTAAATTATATAATTTGCTCATTTGTATTTATTATCTTTCCACCATAAACAGACTGAAAGCTCTACAACAACAAGGGACTTTATCTGTTTTGTTAATTGCTGTATTTCCTTGATCTTGAACAGTGCCTATCTATGGTAGGTGCTTAATAAATATTTGTTGGATCAATGAAAGAGAAAGATGAATGAGAAGTAATGTGCAGTATTCAACGTAAAGCTCGTTTCTGTTTTCTTTAAACTTCCAAAAATACTGTTAAACACATAACCTTTGCTATTGGTACTTTGGACAACAGCCAGTGGCTCGTATTCAGTTTGGAATGAAATGGTGGAAAGAGAAGGTGGTAGTTATAGGAGAAGAAACTGCTGTTAGAGATCAAGAATCTGGCAAGAGCAGGGATTCAAAATAAAATTGAAGAGTGAGAAGTACGTAGAATAGCAAGCAACTGTTTCTCAGCTCTCACGGAGGCTGAAAGGGGTACAATTTCCCTAAGACTGTGGCATGAGGAGTCCCGTCATTTTAGCTGCATAGTCAAATAAAAAGTGATTAAGGTGGTAGAAGGCTGGGGCAACTATGGATTACAGTGACACTGCAGATAGGTCTTATGTAAAACAAACGTGAAAGAACATTTAATAATAAGTAAATCTGACATTCTATTTCTAAGGTAAAGACACAAGGTAGAAGAAATGAAGTGCACTGCACTGAGTTTTGTGAAAGAGCGAGGAGACAAGGTTCTTAGTGTTAATCTTGGTAAGTTTCCTGATGATATTTTCAGTATCTTCACTGAGAAATAAAAACACCAAAGCCGAGCATAAAATTTCATCGTTTGTGAGTCAGAAGTGCAAGAATACATACAACAGTGAAGCAGGCTTTCAATAAATAAAAACATTGCAATTGTTTCTAAGTGCTTGGTGAAGTTATTTTCTTTCACACGTTTTCCAGATTCCACTTTGGAGATATTTTCTCCAGTCAATGCAACACTTGCATTGTTTTGTCACCCGATTTTTCAATCACCTACTTCTAGCTGATAATAAAAAATGAATAATATCCCAAGTGAACGCTCAATTCTGAATGTGTATTACCAACAGTAAGAGCTCCTGTATATAACAATAGTAGATCATTTCTCTAAACTGAGGGTAATTTAAGTTAGTTTTATTTGTGATGTGATAACTCTCCTGTAGACCCCAATAAGAAAACACTAAATTTAATGTTAAACTTGCTGATGAGTTATATTTCAAACATTTTAGTATAAGTGAGTAAAGGAAATATTTTTTCTGCAGTGATACAGAGGAAATATTTAAATGTTGACTAAAGCCTTGTAATTTTTATGTTCACAGCTTTGTCAAAAAGATGTTATCTTCCCAGCAGCATCATGTTATCAAAGATATGAACCTTAAATCAACAGCTGTTACACCTCCAGCAAGTTATGAATTTTTCCTGATTTATAGCAATCACTCTTTTTATTTCTTTTCTCAGTCAAGCAGGGAAATTAAGGTTATTTTCATGTAAAAGACACATACATTATGGCTTGGTATTTCACATAATCCACATCTTATCATTTGAATTAAATTGCTATTGAAATGAATGTGATCTGAGGGCTCTTTTGATTAATAGCAGAAATATTATTAGCAAATAGAAAGTATAGACAACATTATTAACATAAAAATATAGAAGATAACACAGACATAATAAGAAGAATCATTTTCATGATTTTCATGATTTGTATTGTACTGATCTATCAGAGAAAAATGAAATTAAAAGCTAAGGAGATCTGTTGTGGCCAAAGACAGAAACATTGTAGTGCTATTTTCATTTGCATTTTGTTTTTAAATCTACTTTGCCTTAAATAGAACAGAGAAGTTTGCTTTTGGCTATGTTTAGGTAAGCAATACTTTGAAGTTAAAATGCATTTCTAAAATTAAAATTGACCTTGTAATTTACTAAGTTGTTTGCCAAAATTAAAGATAACTAACACTTACTAAACGTTTTCAATATATTATTCATTCTACTAGAATGTTTTCTATGGAGCATCTAATGTAGTACAACTCTGCAGAGCTAAAAACCATTATATACCTATTTTATTGAGGATATAGAAAATCAGTATCTGGAATAATACTTAGATGATGAAACAAAAACTCAAGTCCTAGTTATGTGACTCATCAGGAGGAAGTTGTCAACATATGGAAATCTCAAACATTATGCAGCATAGATTCCTGATTACAGAGAAGATTGTCTCTGGAGAACCAGGCACTTTCTGGAAGAAGCAACTAATATAGGAATTGTCATGTTCTTCATAGTGGACCTTAGCTGGCACATTTATGGGTTTATGACATTTATTTTATTTATCCAACACACACTGTTACTGGGGCTAATACAGAAAACGTTCTAAGCACTTCTTAAATACTAACTGCATGAAACATACCATTATTGTCCATTTTATAATGAGAGAACTGGGGCATGGATCTAACTTGAGCAAGGAAACGCAGCTAATAAACTGTGGATTAGATTTAGAAGAGTGTGACCTTATGCTCTGTACCCTTAACTACGTTAACTAAGACTGCCTATCTGCATCAGTATACTGTGGCTTTAACAAACTATTCCCAAACTCAGTAGGAGGAAGCGTATAATTTTCTTGCTCACAGGTCATTAGGTTAATTGTGGAATGGCTAATCCATGATGGCTTTGCTTCTAGCTGTAGGTCAGGTGGCTTTCACTCCAGAATGTCATTTGGGCTCCGTAAACTATGTATGTATCTTTTACAAATCTACGCTACAGAGCACCAGATACTAAGCACATGAATTTTAGTCAGCTTTGTATTAGTGTAACAAAATGCCCAGGATAATCAGTCTATGAAGAAGAAAATGTTATTTTGGCTCATAGTTTCAGGGGTTTCAGTCCAAGGACACTTGGCTCATTGCTTTTGGGTCATGGTGGGAACTTAGAGAAGATCTGCATACATCGTGGCAGATGGGGATCACAGCACAAGTGTGTGGCAGAGTGAAGTGCTTGCTTCATGGCAGCCAGGAAGGAGAAAGAATTAGGGGAAAAAGGAAGAGGGAGGGAGGCAAAGAGGGAGACAGAGTGAGCGGGAGAGAGAGAGAGAGAGACAGAGACAGAGAGAGAGAAAGAAGAAGGGCATAGGGTCCTACTTGTATCCAAAGGGCACACCACCAGTGACCTCACTTTCTTCCTTTCACTGGGCCCCTTCTCTTGAGGGTTTCACCATACCTCTTGGTAGCGCCATAGCCTAGAACACATGGCTTTTGCTGGCGGGGGAGGCATTCAGGATCCAGATTATAGCACTGATTTTCTCAGAGAATCACAGTTCAGCACAAACTGCAGAAGCATGTTTAAGGTCTCTCTATTCATAGGACATCTGCGTAATGCCACTGGCCCAAGAAAGTTGGATTACTGTCATGGTTTGTCCCTTAAGGTTCATGTTTTGGGAGCTTGGGCCTTACTACGGCTATGTTGGGGAGGTAGGACTTTGAGGAAGTGAGACTAGTGGGAGGACCTTATCTCTTTGTAGGAGCTGCCTTGGGGTAGTTCTCATGGAACCTCTGAATGAGCTATAAGAGTGAGCCTGACTCCTGAACCACTTTCTGTGATCTCTTCCTTCCATACATATTTCTGTTGTGATGCCAAATGCCATGTGGTCCTCCCCATAGCTGAGCCAACACTGGTACCTTGCCCTTAAATGTCCAGAACTGGGAGTCAATTAAAGCTGACCTTGTAAAAGTAGGCTGGCTCAGGGGAACTGAGTGGGCAGGGCAGTCATGTCAAAGTAGTAGGCCTTCTCTTCCGGTTCCTTTCTTTATCTCCTCCTGTATAAATGAAGCTGGGTTGTGTAAGCCCAGAGTTTTCACTAGTGTGTACGAACAGGAAGTTTTGAAATGCCAAGGCAGAGTAAATCTTTTGAGCAAATCCACTTAAAATAGACATTTGTCTTTAGTCATATGAATGTATACTATCTTTCTTCTGGGTTTCAGACAAATCACATCTTCCAAAATTAATGGTCACCATTTTTGTTGACTGTAACCAGTAAAAATTCTGCATGATTACTTAGACTTTTTTCTTTTTGTGCATTTTTAAATGTGAAATTGATCATAAGAGACAGACAGAAGATGTAAGATTAAATTACTCTTCTATAGCGCCAAATCGAACCCAATTTTGAGGCAGAATTGCAGCTATGTAATAAAAACAAGTATTCAGTTAAAGATGTTATTCATGATATGACTCACCAATTACTGATACAAATTTTATAATGCCTATTGCAATGAATAGACTCAATTACATTACAGTAAAATTATAACAAATATAAAATTGATATTTCTCACCATTTCATTTGCAAGAGATTGATGCATCTGAAGTATGTCTTTCTAGCTGTCAGTTTTCAATCATTATTTATGTCAGATGTATTATTGATTGATGAAAGCTAAGGTATTCCTTGCTCCTTTTCAAACACTCAGAATAGTTGCCTTTGAATCTAGCATTTTGACTTGTACTTTTTGTGTCAAAAGCATATTATGTCACAGCATAAATAAATGCTTTGGACTCAGCGTGCATGATTTTCTAAAAGGAGATAAAAATCTGTTAGGTTCCTTTACAGTGGAAACACCATAAAACAAAAACCTCATGCAAAAACATTTTTTCTGCTTTATCACATCCAAGATATTTTAGTTCCATTTCCAGCATTTTCTTGACACAAGCTATGCAACAAATTTAAGTGGGAATGTTGATGGGCTATTTTTGTCTCAATAATATGATAATAGAAATCATAACTAATTATGAGAAATAATGCTTTTATTTTGTTATTTTCATGAGAATTACTATGTCTTGTGCCTAACAGAAGAAATCTTTTTGCAGTGTTGCCAAAACTTATGTAGTTTTGGGGGATTTTTGTTTGTTTATTTGGCTTAGATGGCCTTGAGAAATATTTTTTATTTTCTGCATCTCTCTCTCCTCTTTTAAGTAAAATTGCTGGTTGATGGGGAAGAACTGTTCTCTGGGGTTAAAACAACTGGTGTCTTGATATCCATATTTTTAAGCTGAAATAGCATAGTGTGATCATTGTGGATAGAAAAGAAGGAAATAAATCAGCTTGTGAGATATAATCATTCACTTTACATTGTGAAAAACAAATACAGCTGTCACATCCTAACATTCACCATACATAAACTGAAAATATATATCATTATTTAACATAGTGAAAAAAGGAAAAGAGTACTAAGGGATGTACAATATTTTGGTAATATATCTTATTAAAGCAAAATAAATTGGTTACTGGGTGGGAAAATCCCAAGGAATTTATCAAAGTGCTGAATGAGAGACAATGTGTAGAAAAAGTCATATACATTTAGGTACAAGCAATGAATCAGGGTTTACGAATCTTTGCAACATGTTGTGTCATTGTGTGCAGAGGTTTTAAAAATATAAAAAGGTATGGAAAGGGACATCTTTTTTTTTAATTGTTTTCTCAGCACTTCTCATTTCTTTTGGGCAAAGAACTGTTTCTTTTGAGAAACGTCTCTCTTTCCTCTCCCATTCATATGGGAAGGGTTGCCGCTACTTTGACAGAAACAAACATTTCGAATCTTAGTGATGCTGAGCATTAGAATGAGTGAGGTGAGTTGAGGACCCTCTTACTGCTTGTTTGGTCCTTCAGCACTTCCTTCAGTTCTGCCACTCTTCGCAGTGTCCTTCTAATAAACATCTCTCTTCCCTGCACCTCATTTTTTTTGGCTTTAGAAAGTTAAATTTCCATATTTTCCAATGAAATAAACCCTGGCATATCTATATATTCCACATAATTATTTATGTTTATGGAAATGTTTATTTGATTCAAGAAAATATTTAAATTGAAACTTCAACATGTTTTAAGACTAGGTTTATAAATTTTCATTGGACAATAAGGCATTTTGGATTATGTGGTTTCCAGGAATATTTTGTAGGATATTTATCCTCAGCATTCTCAAAGACAAATTGTTACTTCACTTTATTTTGCTTTCTAGTGAGAAAGCAAGTTTCTAGGCACTCACTCATGTGTTCTTTCATAAATGAGCACTTTATTTTAGGGATGCTAGGGATACCGTGTGAAAAATAAAAAAGGCAAGATGTCTGGCTTCATGGAACCTAAATAGAAAGTAATAATAAGTAATATAGTCACAGAATATATCAGGAGAGGAGCAATGGAGAAAACATAAAGCAGGAAAGGATGAAAGAAGCACTGGGCTGGGGGTTATAACTTTAAATCAAGTGTTTTGAGACTAGTGAGGAGGTGAAATGAAGCAGACTTGAAAGAGATAAGAGAAAGATACACGAACAGGGTGACCGTAAAACTCACCATCCAAGCTGGGACACTTCGATGACTGTGACTATTATTTTGAGACAAGAATTGCAAATGCTGACTTCCAGCCAAACCAAAATATATATGGTCACCCTAACTTTGAGGGATCCAGATGAAGAATTCTAGGTAGAGGACGGTTACTGCAAATGCCTCGCAAACAGCATGTACCTGGCTGGCACAAGGCCCAGCAA